AGGTGGGTTTCTGAGTGTCCCTGGATGGGAATGCTGAGTCAAGAGGCTTGGAAGTAGCCCAGGGGCCGAGACCAACAAGTCAGCTGGTCCTTCCTTGCTGCCAGATCCCACCTCTGCCCAGCCCTCGCTGCGTGCGGCCCAGCAGGCAGGGTGCCAGAGCCTCATGGCTCCTGCTCTCTGTTCTGTTGTCCTGACTGGCCCACTGCTGCATTTTTGGCACCTCACTGGTGTGCAGATTCCTTTAGGTTGCTTGTGAATTCTTTGGCAGCGAAGGCTGTATCCCTGTCCCTGGTGAGAGGTGTCTTGGATAAATTTTTGTGCTCTGCAAGGTACTGGGGAGTTTGTTTAACTTCTAGTTGTGAGCAGCAAGGGGACAAATTCCTCCTGTGTGTTTGTCTGGATCACATCCCGTTTTTCCTGTTGATTCAGCAATGTTTTCGGGGAGCAGAAGGACGCAGCTGGGTTGAGGCTGAGGAGCTGGTGCAGGTGATGGTGGAGAAGAGTAGTCAAAGGCAAGGAGTGGTTTGCTGGAGGGCCTTCCCAGTGGGGTCACATTAGTGGTTCCGTTAGCTGCAAGCTCACATAGCTTCCAGGGGGCATTGAGCGGGTGGGGAAGTGTGCTTCCATTCAAAGCCCTTGTGACAGTTTTGGGGAAATAGTCTGAAGTTGCTAAGAGGCTCCATGTGACGTACCTCCACAAGGAGGGGGATGCTGGGTGCGTGGTGACAGAACAGGGCCAGGCAGGGCAGCCAGCTCCCTGGGTGCTCCTGGGAGTCACGAGTTCGGACACGGGCGGTGCTCGGGAGGCACGTGGCTTGTCTTTGGGGTTGGCATTGCACCCAAGTGCAGGATGGGACTGTTCCACAGTATTGAAAGTTCAAAGGGCACATTCATGGAAGAAGACTCTGTTGAGGGCTATTAACTATAAAGACCGTCTTGCACCTGGGAAATGCCTTGGCTTCAGCACCTGGGGGCAGGAATGGCACACAGAGAATATCTCTGGGGGCTTACCTGGTCTTACAGCCTTCCTTCCCCAGCTGCTATAAGCCGCTGTCAAAAAACGGGACCTAGGGCTATGGCATCTGTCTTGGTACAGCTGTGCTGTGGCTACATGGCGAGTTTATGGCACTGCTATTCAAATGAGATAGAGGCAGTTGTGGGGAATGTTCAAGGTAGCAGGAGAAGCTGGAAAAGGTCTTTGGCATTGGGAGGCAATTGCAGGAAGCAGTATGGGGCTGGCTGAGGAGAGAAGTTGAAAAGAGAATTTGTTCCTTCTGGAATGGAAGAACCATAACCACCCTGAGCATGCCATGTCTGTGAGATGGGAACAGTGAGCAGCTGCTCTCCGTGTCCTCTTTAGGGCAGAGTACGCTGTTGTGGGTTGGATTTGTGGACTGAAGAATTAGATTTCACGTCAGGACAGAGTCTGAGGGGCCTCTTGTACTTCCCATCTCTCGGGGCATTGCTTCTGCCTCTGTGGTGGCTGGTGTGGCACAAGGGTGGCCAAGCAGGGCAGAGGGAGCAGCAGTGTAAGAGCCTGGGAGCTGCCTGTGGGTGCCTGGAGCTGTGTCTGCCTGGCTGTGGATCCCAGCGGTGGTGTGGCTCGATTGACCTGGGGAGGTCCCCTAGAGCAGTGTGTTTCTGAGCTTGGTGGCTGCTGTCAGGCAAATAATTCCTGTGGGATTGAAGCTGTTCTCTTAGTTGCTGGAGAGACATGGAAAGGAGGGATGTGGAGAGAACAGGTTGTGTGGTGATGCTTCCCCGGGGAGCTGGAAATGCAAGGCTGCTGGGACGAGCTCTGTTTTCGACTCTGTCAGCCAAGGGCTCAGCAGCAAAATGGAGGTGAGGCTGCCTGTCAAGCACTTCTTGCCAAGCACCAACAGACTGTAGTGCTGTTTGGGATGCTCCCAGCTGGTCCTATCGTGTTGAGAAGTGAGACAGGAGCTGCTGAAGCCATCTGCCAGCATCCATCAGTCTCTGGCCTTTTCAGTGCTTGAATGCTGAGGCAGGTCTGTGGGCAAGGGGAAATGGGCTGAGATGGGGAGCTGCAGTTACACCATACTGCTGCTTCCGTGCCCTGTTAGTGTCTTTGGGCTCTTGCTGACATGAATACGTTGTCTATTGCCATCTCAGGGCACTGGGGTTGGGGGAGTGGGGAAGCTGGGTCAGTGCTGACCAGCTCTGGAGGAGGAGTATGCTAGTTGTTGGGGAGCAAAGGACTACTGGGAAGACCTGGTGTTGACATCAGGTCCTAGAAAGCCTCTGAAAGGGCTGCCGGAGGGTGTTAGCCTCTTTGTGCAGCTGACTGCTGGTAACTCCCCATGACGCAGACATGCTAATCTGGATCTGGCACTGCTGCTGGGCTTGGACACTCCACATCCTCTTCCTGCTTTGGTCTGGCTCTCCTGTTTGTTCCTCCCTCATCCCTGACTTCTGATAAGGCCTGTCATACATTCATAGTTTAATTTGAACTTGAGAAGCTGAGCAAACATCAAGACTCAATGGGTTTGTGGGGAGAAGGGTAGGGGTGGGGTTGGAGTGTGCCATATGGGGCTTAAGTCCTTTTGCTGCTTTTCTATCCTAGATATTGCCGTGGAGTTGCTGCAGAAAGTGGCTCCCAGCCCTATCCGCAGACTCCAGAAGAAATACGTGTCTCATGTATCTCGGTAAGAAGGAAAACTTGTCCCTTCGTGTCCCGTATCAGAACTGGGAGCTCTGGTCTCACCTGGGACTCACTGCTGTCCCCTGGCCCAGCATCGGCTTTGTGCTTGGGGTTGATTAGTGTCAAAGAGGAGCTGGGGCAAGTGGCAAGGCCAGCAGGCACAGTGGCTTCCTGACACAGCCAGGCCGTTTCAGGTTGGTCCTGTTTTCTGGAGTGCAGGGGTGCCCTTGTTGGCAGGAGTCTGTACTAGCTTGATCTGCAGCTCACTGGGCAGCCAGGCCTGAATCCTGGCTCTGCCAAGCCTTGCAGCATGCCTGGCTGCAAGCAGGACTGTTCAGTTCAGAGCTGGCTGTGCCCAGAACAGGAGCCAGGGCTTTCTGCTCTCCATCCTGCATCCCCTGCACTTTCTCGTGCTGCAGCTCAGGACAGCCAGCACAGAGCTGGCAAGGTTGGGATGTATCTAGCTGTCTACTTACTAAACCCCCCCACTACCTACATGGGGAGGGAGCAGCCAAGTTGTGCTGTGCTGACTGGAATGTCTGTAGCACATGAATAACCTTTGGATTGGCTCTTCCCTGTCATACAGGGAAGCTTGTATCTCGCCCTGCTCCATGATGCTGGCACTGGTCTACATTGAGAGACTCCGGCATCGGAACCCTGAATACCTCCAGCAGATCTCATCTTCAGACCTTTTCCTGATCTCCATGGTGAGCGGTGTGGGTTGGGGGCTCACTGGGTTGGAGGGAGGCCCACTGGAGTACAGGGGGGACTGAGATCCTCTCTTTTGTGCTGCTTTTAGATGGTTGCTAGTAAGTACCTGTATGATGAGGGGGAGGAGGAAGAGGTGTTCAACGATGAGTGGGGAGCAGCAGGGAAAGTGGATGTCCAGACCATGAACACACTGGAAATGAACTTCCTGAGCGCCATTGTAAGTGGGGCTGTCACTGCAGCCAACTATTTCACAGAATGGGAGGAAAGGAGGTGTTAAGGGGAGTTTGGATTTTTGTTTTTCCCCCGTGTACTCCCATGATGGAATAGAGAAGGATGTGTCTAGGTGCTGGGTGGCCTGCTCTGGCTATGCTGACCTTTCACTGCTGTCCCCACAGGACTGGAGTCTCTACACAGACCCCCGGGAGCTGTTTGAAGTGCTGAGCTGGCTGGAAGGACGGTAGGTGTGTGGGGGGAGGGCGAGCCTTTCATCCACCCTGCAGCCCTGGCTCTGCCCCTGCCCAGAGCCAGCTCTGCTGCAGTGAGATAAGAGGTTGAGGTACCTGTGAGCCTTTGCTAGGCTCTGCAGCTCCCTTCCGTAGACCTTGAGCAGGATCTTTTCCAAGCCTGCCTGGGCTGAAGCTTCTTCAGTGGAGGTGGTCCATCCCACAACCAGCATTCCCTTTATTTCCTGCAGTGTGGCAGAAAAGCAGGGCATGTGGCGTGGCTGGTTCACCTACACGGATCTGTGTGTCCTCATGGAGCAGTCCACGTGGCAGCACGTGCTGGCTCAGTTCTACCAGCAAGTGGTGAAGGTAAGGATGTGGGGCAGCAGCTCCTTGCAAGAACGTGGGGCCCTGCAGGCCACGGGTTTGAAGCAGGACTCTCTTTTCTGCTCAGAGCAGCAGCTAGGTTTGTTCCCTGTTGAAAAGGGAAGCTGTCAGAAGCCGGAAGATGCTGATTTGCAGCTGTTCTGCCTGAGGCACTGCAGTGTGGTGCTTAGTCTGTGCCCTGTGCTGGACCACAGCCCCACAAGTCATGGTGCAAGGTCATGGTGGTGACTTGGAGGGAAGTAGGTGCTGGGATTTAAACAGTTCCTGTTTGGTTTTAGCTGTGGCATTTTGGCTTGGTATTTAGCCCATGCTTTGAACAGGCTGGGTGCTACTCGCTGTTAGCAGGGTGACTGCCAGCTGCCCGGCATCCGGCCCCAGTGCTGGTTGTGCCATTTGCCGTCACAGCTGCTGAGTCAATGCGTGGCCATGCTGGGTCATGGCTGGCTGTGGGGGGGCTTCTGGGGCTCTGGGCTAACCGTTGGCTTCTCTGCAGCTGGCCTGCCTCCTGGGTGTGGTGTACCTGACCGGTTTTGCCGCTGTCTTTGTCTCTGTCACCGTGGGACACCGGTCTGTGTGCATGAGGAGCGTCAGCCCTGAAGCCCCCCGGCCTGCACTGTTCCCCGAGGAGGGCAGCTGCCAGCTGGATGCCCAGCCAGCCCCAGCCCCTGACCAGCACCAGCCTGAGCTGCCCAACGTCTCCCCAGCCAGCAGCACCTGTTGCCTGGGGGACAATAAGACGACCGAGGAGCCACATCGCAGAGGTGTCACGGCAACTGCGCTCTACCTGTGGGGCAGCGTGATGACGGCTCTGTCCTACCCAAAGGTAGGACAGATCTCTGATCCAGCCCAACACAAGAGCCCCCCGCAAGGCCCCTTCCGGAGAGTACCCACCACCTGTGAGAGATTGAACCGTACTGCCCCTGCCGCAGCCCCTGGCCAGCCTGGCCCCTTCGGACTCGCCATGCTCCCGTCTCCTCCGGTGCTTCTCCACTGCCATGCCTGCTCAGCTGGTGCAGACCCCACATGGGATGCAGCCCCCAACCGCAAGGACTGGCTGGACCCCCTGGGGCTGAGACAGTGCTCCTGGCATGCTGCCATGGATCTCGGCAGAATCAAGAGCTTCATTTTTCCCAGCTAGGAGCGCAGGGCAGCAGCCCCTTTCCCCTTCCCTCTTAGTGTGGCACAGCTCACTTCCTTGCACTTTTGGGACTTCTGATCCCTGGGGCTGCGCAGGGTTGGGGGCCTCTGCAGTACTTCCAAACCAGCATTTGTATCTTCCCACCCACGGCAGGGATGTCCTTTAGTTTGGGGGCTGCTGGGACATATTGGGACAGAATTGGCTTGCTGTTGGGTGCTGGCGTGGGAACTTAATAGCTGGAGAGTAGAAATGGGGTGCCCTTGGGCTGGAGTGCTGGGGCAAGGGGGGTGTTGTACCTCTTCCTACAGTGAGTGGGTGGCCCTTGGTAGTGGTGTGTGGAATGTAGGATGCTGGGGCTGTGTGTGCAGGTTGGAGGGTCTGGGGCAGTCACCCCAGTTGGCAAGTAGAATGCTCCAGGAGGAGGTGAGGTGCCTGGGTGAGGGGAGAGGAGGTTGAAGGAGAGAGGAGTGAGCAGCCCTAGCTGGCTGGCGACAACAGCAATTCCTCTTGGGGGCTTCCAGGACACTTCTCGGGAGGCAGAAGGGTCACACCAAGAGAGGACCCCAATGTGGCTGTGCCGCAGGGAAAAGTGGTGCCCTGCTGGGCTTGGAGGTGGTAAGGTGTGGTTAAAACTGAGCTTCCTTATCCTGCTTGTGTTGGGTGCTTTGAAACAGGGGTGCTCTCTTAGCCCATCCCAAACCCCAGCTGTCTGTGGCTGAGCAAACGGTGCCTGACTGCTCCTCAGGGCGGGGAGACGGCACCTTGTTGTGCTGACAGCCCAGCTCATCGTGCCCCTTCTTTTTACTGTGGATTTTACACCTGTTTTTCACTCTTTTGTAGATGCAAATCTCTTCCAATAAAAGTAGTTCTTGCTGTGCACCTACCTTGTCCTGCTGAGCTACTCCTTGCTGGCAGCACGGGTGCCCCACTGCGGAGCCCCATCGATGCAGCTGTGCGGTTACACCAGGTGGTGTGTGCTCTCTGAGCTGGCGTGCAAGGCAGATCCTGGTGCTGGGAAGTGAGCCCAGGAGCAGTGAGGCCTGTCCTGCAGGGTTCTAGAGGGATCAGGCTCTCTGGTGACGGGATGGACATCGAGTCTAGTGCCTGGGGAAGACAGAGGCAGTGGAAGCGAGGAGGTTCCCCATCCTTGGCAATGTGGGGAATGCATAGTCTCCATCACTCTTTGCTCTCCAAAGTCTGTCCAGTTAATGAGTGAGCGCCAAGCAGCAGAGGCTTGGCAGATCGCTTTTGTGGTCACTGGCACAGCCACCTCTGCCCTGGGACAAAAACACAAGTATCTCCTGCCTGTGCTCCCTTGGGAACCTTCCCAGCCAAGTGGGCAGCTCCTGTCCCTGGCATCCTTGTCCAGCAGCAGGATTCAATGCCCTCCTCCTAGGAGGGAGCATGTGGGACATAGTAGACCCCCAACAGAGACCCTCCCAGTGTGGGTGCAGTACCCACAGAGGGGAATGACAGAACCTGGAGTGTGGGGCTGGGCACCTTTTAATGGGCTCCTCAGGGCCTGATGATGAGGAAGGGCTGGACCAGGAGAGCAAGCGGATGCTGTGCTGGGGAGGAACAAGCATGGGCAGGGCATGCTGGAGCTGGAGGATGCTGTTGGGTTTGTTCCAAGCACATGAAGGAACAGCTGTCTGTGCTGTGGCCTACTGGGTCCCTGCTCTGTTTACCGCAAGAGGCAGGGATGGGACCTGGGCTGTGGGCAGTTGGCACTGTAACAGTGTCCTGTGTCGTGTCTGTCACCTGGCCCTTGTGGTGACAACCCAGGGTGACACTTGCATTCCTGGCCGCAAGGGCAGGTTACTCACCAACTCAAGTTATTAATGGGTAACCCTGGGGCAGCTCCTGCAGAAGGTGGAAGTTCACCTGTGTGTGGGCTGTGAGGAGCCCTTTGGGGGAGTGGGAGCCTGCCTGCTCCTTCCGCATCGTAAACTGGAAGCAGTGCAGGGAGGCAGCAGCATGAATGGGGGCCACCCCGGAGTGCCTGGTGCTGGGAGCCCCACACTCGCAGTCTGCTCCCTACAGAAGATGTGCTCCTGGATGCTGAGCTGTTGCTTAGCCCTTCAGGTAAGGGGGGACCATGGTGAGAGAGATGGGGAGAGGGCTGGGATCCTCACAGGTGGCAGGACAAGGGCTGCAGCCTGCCAGGCAAAGGGTGCTTGGGGCTCCAGCCAGGGTGTGCTGGGAGGGGAGTGGGCAGGATGGCTGGGCAGTGGTGGGCGCTCCCCGGGGCGTGTCGGTGAGCATGCATCCACCTGGGGGTGCTGGGCATGGTGGGGCTGCAGCTCTGGGTGCTGCAGAGAGTCATGACCATCTGCACTTTTCCCTGCGCAGCACCTGGCCGTGCAGACCTCCTTGCTCTGCATCTTCCACCTCCTCCTCCTGCCCACCCTGCCTGAGGAGTCGCCCCATGCCGAGGCCACCAGCGAGCTGCTGGCACGCAGCCTCTTTGCCTGTGGCATCTCCACAGTGCTGCAGACCACCTTGGGGAGCCGGTGAGCAAGGGGGACGAAGGTGATGCAGCTGTCGCCAGAAGGAGGCTGACACCACGGGAGGGCATGTCTCTGCCCCCTCCTAGGCTGGGGAGGACAGGCTTTGCTGGAGGTGGGAAGGGCACAAGGACCAGGTTTTCTGTAACAACCCAGTATGTCTGTACAGCTGTCCCCTCCCCACCATCACTGCATCCTCCTCTCACATGTCCCTCCAGCAAACCTGCTGTGCTTTCTCCTAGCTTCTTGCTCCAGCATCATGCACAGCTCCTCTGGGCCATCCGGTGCCTGCACTGCCCATGCCCCTTGCTGGAGCTGGACATGAGCTTGGTAAAGCCTCTGACCTCTGTGCCAATCCCATGTGCTGCCACTTCGGATGTGCTAGGGCACATGTGGGATATGGGGTGTCTTCTTGCTACTCTGGGGTTCCCACCTCCTCTGCTTCCCAGCTCTCACTCCTCCAGCAGCCTGGGCTTTGGGAGCAGCCCTGTCCCCTCTTTCCTCCCTAACGTGCCCTTGCTGTCCCCTTCCCCAGGCTGCCGCTGGTTCAAATCCCATCCTTCGAGTACCTGCTCCCTGCCATGGTGCTGAGCTCCCACCTGTCTCTCGGTGCCAGCATGGACAGGAACGGTGAGCACATCGCTGGAGCCTGTGCCCCGTGGGGCCCAGGCTGTGCCAGTGGAACGGTGGTGATGAGCTGTCTGGTGCACTGGGTAGACATGAAGGGTCAAGGAGTCCTGCATGCTGGTCCCCTGGTGATGGTGCACAGCACCCTACTCACCCTTCTTCAGCCAGCATATTCTTGGACTCAGCTCCAGGAGCCCAGTATCTACGTGTATCACATCCCTCCAAAATTCCCTTCCAGGCACGGCTGTGGCCAGCACGTGCCCCGCACCACGCTGCACCGTTGTGGGGAGCTGGGCTGCCTCGCTACGAGAGGTGGGTGCTCCTGTGCTGCACTGAGGGTCTCTGTCCTCCTGCTCCACCAGCACCCTGGTTGCTACCTGCAGCCCCCAGCCTCTTTCCCAGCCCTTCTGGGGATTGCCATGAATAGGAGGGATACAAGAGGATGTGTAAAGGCAACAGGAGTCATGGTGTACGTGGCTGTGTATGTTCCCCTGGGCTTGGGATGAGCTAAGCAGGGTTGGAACACTGGGAATGAGTGATGGTACTGAGACGGATGTGAGTGTGGCCAAGGCAGAATGTTGGGCTGCTCTCTGTGTACACTGCCCTGCAGGTCTCATCCTTTCCTCCCGCAGGTCTCTGGAGCTGTGGTGGTCTCTGGGATGCTTCAGCTGGCACTAGGAGTGTCTGGCATGTGTGGGTGGGCAGCCCAACACTGCGGGCCCATGGTCCTGGCCCCTAGCCTCTCCATCATCGGGCTGTCTGCATACAAGGAGGCTGCTTTCTTCTGCTCCACTAACTGGGGGGTAGCATTGCTGTATGTGAGCCTGGGGGCCATGCTGCAGTGCATTACATGCATTTGGGGCCCCATCGCTATGACGCTGCGTGGTGACCTGTGCTCCCTCTCCTAGGCTCATGCTCCTTGCTGTCACCTTCTCCCAGCACCTGGGGTCCTGCCGCCTGCCCTTCTGCACCTGGCCCCAGGCTTGGGGGGTGTCTACGGAGCCATCCATCCCCACTCTGCGCACGTTCTCGGTACCATGGCTTGTCTGTCTCTGCCCCTTCTGCTGCATCTGGGCTTCTCTGAGCCTGGCTCTTTGGTGCAAGGTTAGGTCAGACCCAATGGTCCTGGAGCAGAGCAGGGTGCTGGGAGCAGAGGCAGGGGGAAGTCCCGGTGCAGCTCCTGGGGTGTGGGTGCTGCTGAGGGAGCGCAGGGGATCTGTGCTCGAGGGTGTTGGAGCAGCAAAGCCTGGGATGCTCCCTGTGGGAGTAAGGCGAGACATGGCATGGCTCCTCGGGAGAGGTGACAGTACAAGGGTCTGTTGTTTGGGGCACAGCAAGTGCAATGCTAGCTGGGGGAGGAGAATTCCCCGCAGAGTTTCCGTCACTGCCTTGCAGGTACTGTTCCCGTTTGCCGGTGTCTGCGTTGTTTGTGCCGTCCTCAGCCATCTCCGTGTCCCTTGGGAATCACTGGACCTGGCCACATCACAGCTGTCCTGGGCCAACAGCACCTTCCATGCCCCTTGGCTCCGCATCCCCTATGCAGGTGTGGGGTGGCAGGGCTGGGTGCAGCCATCTGCCCTCAGCAAGGGCCCATGTCACCCATCCCCTCTCCCTCTGCTGCAGGCGAGTGGGGGTGGCCGCTGCTCACCCCCCGGGCCCTGGCAGTGGGCATCGCCATGGCCGTCGGTTGCAGCATGAACTCGGTGGGCTGCTACGTGCTGTGCGGGAGGCTGCTGCGCGCCCCCCGCCTGCCCCCCCCCGCCCGCATCTGCACCGAAGGGCTGGGCAGCCTCCTGGCAGGGCTGCTGGGCACCCCAGGGGGCACGGCCGCCAGCATTGCCAACGCCTGCGCCACTGGCCTCACGCAGGTACGGCCAGGGTGGGGAGAGGAAGGTCGGCAAGGGGTGGGAAGGGGCAAGCGATGGAGCAGCAGGTGTGGGGCATCCGTGGCACACGGGCTGGCATTGAGCCAGCGCTGGTGGCAAAAGGCAGGTCTGTATGGCAGGGGCAGGGTATGTAGCGCGGGGGTGATGCTTCCCTTCCTCACTTTCCTGTCCTCCTTTCTGCCAGGCTGACTCTCGCCACTCAGTGCAAGTAAGCGCGCTGGCGTGCATGGTGCTGGGCATGTCCCCAAGGCTGGCAGGGCTCCTCACCCGCATCCCGCTGGCGGTCCATGGTGGGTGCCTTGCCCTTCCCCTGCCCTGTGGTGCCCACAGCCTGCCTGGCACTGCCTGACTCCTGCCTCTCACAGGAGGGGTGCTGTGTGTCACCTATGCTGTGGCTGTGGGCGCGGGGATCTCCTACTTCCAGTACACGGACATCGACTCGGGGAGGAACATCTTCAT